GAGAACCTGGAAGAGTCAGACCCAGTGGAACCTCAAAGATGGAGGCTTCGAGCAACCTGAGAGGGTAGGAGAGAAGCAGTAGGAAGAGAAGGTGTGCAGAAAGTGAAGAGCATAGATTCCAAAGACAACCCCAGTCTGTCTCAAGGAAGGCAGCATTCTGCCACTTGCTTCACTCCCTCCTCTCCCTCTGTGCTGCACGCACTGCTTTCTGATGACTTGGCCCAATTGCCATGAGTGGCAAGAGCATAATAAGGCCCGTAGGCTAGTTAGACACTCAACAAACCCATGTAACGACATTACTGTGGGGAAACGGGTCCTGAGTCCCAAACCACCGACCTATGGATGTGCTTGGGAGTTGCAACTATGGGAACATGGCCCAACACAAAGTGGGGAGTTGCTCTCCAAAAACCACAGCCGTCTGTCCCACCAGGACAAACCAGGGTACACTGAGCTCCTTTGACATCTGCTCCATGTGAAGTGCACTTTAGACCAACTTTGTCAAAATATTCAGCTTGTCCAGTTTTAATGCATTTCAGCATTTCAGAAATAAGCCTCCACTCCATCACTCCCTCTCTGCAGGTCCATCCCGACCGACCGTGGGATTTGGTTACAATGGAAAGCTACTCAGCTGGAAACTTCTGAGAACATGGCTCAGGGTCGGGGACAATCTTATCAGGAAACTTCCTGTTTGGGGTTAGGAAAATGGGTGACATTTGAGGGCTGATAAGATAGATTCCAGGGCACCTAGGCTGTATATAAGGAGCAGCAACTGCCTGCTGCTGTACACTTTCCACCCACCTTCCCTTCTCTGGAGACTTGAGACCCAGGAAGAACCATGAAGTGGCTGCTGCTGCTCAGCTTGGTGGTGCTCTCTGAGTGTGTCATCATCAAGTGAGTCTGGGGGACACGCAGCACAAGGAGCAGCTCCCAAGGGGCTATTTCCTTTTGCCCACTGTCACATTGCCTTCCTTTCCTGCCATATTTTTCTTCTTCCCTCATACAACGCCTCTCTCTCTTTCTTGACCATCTCAAGCCTTTTTCCTTATTGCTCTCTCTGCCCTTTTAGGGGGTCAGCACTGCAGACGTGGTGACTAGCCGAGGCCCTCAACTGCAGCCTGGGTTTGCTTCCCAGCTCCGTCACTGGGCCAGGCAACTTTGGACCACCACTTAACCTCTTTGTATTATTGTGCCCCAAATGGGAGCATCTCCCCTCTTGACTTCCTTCCTCCGTCCTCTCTTGGGCCAGCCTCCTTTTCCTTCCAGGGCTTCCACAGCACCCCATGAACAGGCTCCTTGCCTAATTACTCTGCCTTCTCCAAATCACCTGTTTGCAAACGCCCTCCACAGGGTTCCCCTAGTCAAGAAGAAGTCCTTGAGGCAGAACCTGATCCAGCATGGCCTGCTGAAGGACTACCTGAAGACGCACAGCATCAACCCAGCCAGCAAGTACTTCAAGGAGGCCGCCTCCATGATGGCCACCCAGCCCCTTGAGAACTACATGGATGTGAGTGCATGGGCAGGCGCAGGTGCAGGCGGCACGGGCAGCTCCGAGGACTTGGCCGGGAGGAGAGAGTCCCAGGGGTCTTAGAAGATGGGCCAGGACTCTCAGCCCCCAGGCAGTAACCCAGGGATCTGCTCCCTGGATCTCAGAGACACAGGGAGGGCAGGAAAACTCACAGTCAGAGCTGTTGCTCTCATGCATTCATGTGTTCACCCAGTGTTTATGTATATTGAGCACCTCATTTATGTGTCTAGTAGGGAGAGAGAGATAACAATCTATGAGCTTCACAAACTGTGAGAAGTACAACTGGGCGAGGGCTACCGTGAAGGGGAAGTACTGTTCCAGTGTGGCAGGTGGCAGGCAGGGACATCTCCCAGGGGCAATGAAGGAAGAACCAGTGTTCTGAGAGGACAGGAGAGAGTCCCAGGGAGCAAGAATCAGGCCCTGTGACAGCAGGGAGCAGCGTGCTATGCAAGGAGCTGAGGAAACAATCATGAATAAACGGAGTTCCTCGAGCTTATTCTAGAGAAGACAAGTAAGAGACAGACAAAGAAGTGTGTAAGATCATTTCAGGTAATCGCAAGTGGCACAAAGAAAAATTAATTCATTAGAGTAAGGGGACGAAAAATAATGGGGGAGGGGCACATTTAGATAAAGTGGTCAGGGAGGGCCTCTTGGAGGTGACATTTGACTAGAGCTCTGCATGATTGATGAGGCGTCAGAGCCAAGGAAAGCTCTAGAATAAACATTTTCCAAGCA